GGGGGGGTTGACCCATAGTAGAGTGCCTACCATTGCAGGGGGAGTGGTGACCCATAGTAGAGTTCCTACCATAGCAGGGGGAGTGGTGACACATTTTAGAGTCCCGCCACATGCAGGCTGGCAGGTAGAGAGCTCCACTCTGACTATAGAGCTACAACACAGCCAATTGTCATGTTTAGTTCTAGAGCAACTCATACACAAACTTAGTACATATCTCCATCACTGACCGTCCCTGAGGACTGCAGAGTGGGAACTGAGCTTCATCCTGCAGGGACATGTAGGGAGAGGGACATGGTCTCTCAGACTGATCAAATCTCTGTACATGGCAGCTAGAGGCACAGGACCCCAAGGACAGGATTGTCACACACAGGGCCCCAAGGACAGGATTGTCACACACAGGGCCCCAAGGACAGGATTGTCACACACAGGGCCCCAAGGACAGGATTGTCACACACAGGGACTCCAGGACAGGATTGTCACACACACACACACGGGTAATACTGTTATGTGGTGAGATGTGATAATGTGATAGTGTTTGTATGCGGTAGGTACATGCCCGGTTTGGAGTTCAGTAACTGCAGTCGCTCGGAGCTGGACGCCATCTTCAAACAAGGAGGAGGGAAGTGTCTGTTTAATGTCCCCAGTCCCTCCAGTGTGTTTGGACAGGCGCGTTGTGGAAATCTGGTGGTGGAGAAAGGCGAGGAGTGCGACTGCGGCCTAACACAGGTGAGAACCACCGCCCCCTTCCAACTTTCATATCACGCTGCACCTTATTTATCAAAGAGTGACCTGCACATTCCATAGCACATAATATGGTAGAGGAGTACCAAACCTAATCATTCTTACCCCAAAGAATTGTTCCTGTATGGCAGCTTCAGACCTAACTGCTCGTACCAGAAAGAATCCTTCCTGTAGGTCAATACACAACCTAACTGCTCTTACTAGAATTAATCCCTCTGTCCTGTAAATCATTCCCCCCCCAAATAAATGCTTCATCTGCCTTTTAGCCATATCCAATTTTGCTCCTCGAAACTACGTCAAATCTACGCGTTCCAGGGACCAGGCTGTTCCCCTTCATCAGGGCTGAGGGGGCCTCATATAAAATCAGGACTTGGTCTGGTTCATGTTCTAAAGAAAAGTGTGTACTGTGGGAAGGATTACTCTGACATCCGGTGGTTTGAGTATTCATAAGTGGGGGGGGGGGAAGATTGAAGAGGGGCTCAGCCTGGCCCAGAAACGCGTTGGTTTATCAATCATTTGAATACATTTTGGACTCTCTCATTCTTTGGTCTCGGGATTGCCTCTGTGATGTCCTAGCCGGCTGTGTGTAGCCTAGTCATAGCATTGGGTTAATGAAGGACTTTACTCCGGGAGCCCCATTTGTAGCCATCGCATCTGAGAGCCCCATTCGTAGCCATCACATCTGAGAGCCCCATTCGTAGCCATCGCATCTGAGAGCCCCATTCGTAGCCATCACATCTGAGATTCTCATTTGTAGCCATCGCATCTAAGAGCCCCATTCGTAGCCATCGCATCTAAGAACCCCATTCGTAGCCATCGCATCTGAGAGTCCTATTCGTAGCCATAACATCTGAGAGCCCCATTCGTAGCCATCATATCTGAGAGTCCCATTCGTAGCCATTATATCTGAGAGCCCTATTCGAAGCCATCGTGTCTGAGAGCCCCATTTGTAGCCATCATATCTGAGAGCCCCATTCGTAGCCATCACATCTGAGAGCCCCATTTGTAGCCATCGCGTCTGAGAGCCCCATTCGTAGCCATCATATGTGAGAGCCCCATTCGTAGCCATCACATCTGAGAGCCCCATTTGTCGCCATCACATCTGAGAGCCCCATTTGTCGCCATCACATCTGAGAGCCCCATTTGTCGCCATCACATCTGAGAGCCCCATTTGTCGCCATCACATCTGAGAGCCCCATTTGTCGCCATCACATCTGAGAGCCCCATTTGTCGCCATCACATCTGAGAGCCCCATTTGTCGCCATCACATCTGAGAGCCCCATTTGTCGCCATCACATCTGAGAGCCCCATTTGTCGCCATCACATCTGAGAGCCCCATTTGTCGCCATCACATCTGAGAGCCCCATTTGTCGCCATCACATCTGAGAGCCCCATTTGTCGCCATCACATCTGAGAGCCCCATTTGTCGCCATCACATCTGAGAGCCCCATTTGTCGCCATCACATCTGAGAGCCCCATTTGTCGCCATCACATCTGAGAGCCCCATTTGTCGCCATCACATCTGAGAGCCCCATTTGTCGCCATCACATCTGAGAGCCCCATTTGTCGCCATCACATCTGAGAGCCCCATTTGTCGCCATCACATCTGAGAGCCCCATTTGTCGCCATCACATCTGAGAGCCCCATTTGTCGCCATCACATCTGAGAGCCCCATTTGTCGCCATCACATCTGAGAGCCCCATTTGTCGCCATCACATCTGAGAGCCCCATTTGTCGCCATCACATCTGAGAGCCCCATTTGTCGCCATCACATCTGAGAGCCCCATTTGTCGCCATCACATCTGAGAGCCCCATTTGTCGCCATCACATCTGAGAGCCCCATTTGTCGCCATCACATCTGAGAGCCCCATTTGTCGCCATCACATCTGAGAGCCCCATTTGTCGCCATCACATCTGAGAGCCCCATTTGTCGCCATCACATCTGAGAGCCCCATTTGTCGCCATCACATCTGAGAGCCCCATTTGTCGCCATCACATCTGAGAGCCCCATTTGTCGCCATCACATCTGAGAGCCCCATTTGTCGCCATCACATCTGAGAGCCCCATTTGTCGCCATCACATCTGAGAGCCCCATTTGTCGCCATCACATCTGAGAGCCCCATTTGTCGCCATCACATCTGAGAGCCCCATTTGTCGCCATCACATCTGAGAGCCCCATTTGTCGCCATCACATCTGAGAGCCCCATTTGTCGCCATCACATCTGAGAGCCCCATTTGTCGCCATCACATCTGAGAGCCCCATTTGTCGCCATCACATCTGAGAGCCCCATTTGTCGCCATCACATCTGAGAGCCCCATTTGTCGCCATCACATCTGAGAGCCCCATTTGTAGCCATCGCGTCTGAGAGCCCCATTCGTAGCCATCGCATCTGAGAGCCCCATTCGTAGCCATCGCATCTGAGCGTCCCATTCGTAGCCATAACATCTGAGAGCCCCATTCCGTAGCCATCGCATCTGAGAGCCCCATTCCGTAGCCATCGCATCTGAGAGCCCCATTCGTAGCCATTGCATCTGAGCGCCCAATTCTAATCACATCTGAGAGCCCCATTTGTAGCCATCACATCTGAGAGCCCCATTTGTAGCCATCACATCTGAGAGCCCCATTTGTAGCCATCACATCTGAGAGCCCCATTTGTAGCCATCACATCTGAGAGCCCCATTTGTAGCCATCACATCTGAGAGCCCCATTTGTAGCCATCACATCTGAGAGCCCCATTTGTAGCCATCACATCTGAGAGCCCCATTTGTAGCCATCACATCTGAGAGCCCCATTTGTAGCCATCACATCTGAGAGCCCCATTTGTAGCCATCACATCTGAGAGCCCCATTTGTAGCCATCACATCTGAGAGCCCCATTTGTAGCCATCACATCTGAGAGCCCCATTTGTAGCCATCACATCTGAGAGCCCCATTTGTAGCCATCACATCTGAGAGCCCCATTTGTAGCCATCACATCTGAGAGCCCCATTTGTAGCCATCACATCTGAGAGCCCCATTTGTAGCCATCACATCTGAGAGCCCCATTTGTAGCCATCACATCTGAGAGCCCCATTTGTAGCCATCACATCTGAGAGCCCCATTTGTAGCCATCACATCTGAGAGCCCCATTTGTAGCCATCACATCTGAGAGCCCCATTTGTAGCCATCACATCTGAGAGCCCCATTTGTAGCCATCACATCTGAGAGCCCCATTTGTAGCCATCACATCTGAGAGCCCCATTTGTAGCCATCACATCTGAGAGCCCCATTTGTAGCCATCACATCTGAGAGCCCCATTTGTAGCCATCACATCTGAGAGCCCCATTTGTAGCCATCACATCTGAGAGCCCCATTTGTAGCCATCACATCTGAGAGCCCCATTTGTAGCCATCACATCTGAGAGCCCCATTTGTAGCCATCACATCTGAGAGCCCCATTTGTAGCCATCACATCTGAGAGCCCCATTTGTAGCCATCACATCTGAGAGCCCCATTTGTAGCCATCACATCTGAGAGCCCCATTTGTAGCCATCACATCTGAGAGCCCCATTTGTAGCCATCACATCTGAGAGCCCCATTTGTAGCCATCACATCTGAGAGCCCCATTTGTAGCCATCACATCTGAGAGCCCCATTTGTAGCCATCACATCTGAGAGCCCCATTTGTAGCCATCACATCTGAGAGCCCCATTTGTAGCCATCACATCTGAGAGCCCCATTTGTAGCCATCACATCTGAGAGCCCCATTTGTAGCCATCACATCTGAGCATCCCATTCGTAGCCATCATATCTGAGAGCCCCATTCGTAGCCATCGCATCTGAGAGCCCCATTCGTAGCCATCGCATCTGAGCGTCCCATTCGTAGCCATAACATCTGAGAGCCCCATTCCGTAGCCATCGCATCTGAGAGCCCCATTCCGTAGCCATCGCATCTGAGAGCCCCATTCGTAGCCATTGCATCTGAGAGCCCCATTCGTAGCCATCGCATCTGAGAGCCCCATTTGTAGCCATCACATCTGAGCATCCCATTCGTAGCCATCACATCTGAGAGTCCCATTTGTAGACGTCGCATCTGAGAGTCCCATTTGTAGCCATCACATCTGAGCGTCCCATTCGTAGCCATCACATCTGAGAGTCCCATTTGTAGACGTCGCATCTGAGAGTCCCATTTGCCACCATCCAGAGACTCACACCAAATGTCTTCCAGATCTCCTCTGCCCTTCTTACTTTATGGTGCCCCAGATTGCCCTCCGTATTATAGACATGGCTTTCTACCAACGCATGGCAAGATTGTATCACCCTTTTTCTACCTCTCACAATCTTATTTGCTTTTGCAGCTGCTGCCTGGCATTGAGTGCTGCTATTTAGCTTACTGCCACCTTCTTTTTCCTTCTGCCTAGTTCCCTGCTCACTGTCCTCCCCTCCCCACTGCAGGAGTGCACGGACCCATGCTGCAATGCCTCCACCTGCCAGTTGGTGGCCGGAGCTGAGTGCGCCTCGGACGGACTGTGCTGCGAGCAGTGTAAGGTAAGTGCGTTCTCTGCGGTCAATCTTGGTGACCACTTGATTTTTTTTCTCAAACGTTTGCCCTGAGATGGCGTAAACAATCCCGGCTTGAATGGAGAAGAGCGAGCAGCTTCTCAGAGGCACGCCCTCCATCTTGTGTGACTTTTCTGCTGCAGTTTGAGAACCAAATGTGGCCCCGAATAACAAACAGAAGATGGGAGAGCACAATGGAGCCTCACTTTTCTCCTCTCTCTTCAGATACAGCCATTGGCTACTCTGTGCCGGCCGCCCCTTGGGGACTGTGACCTTCCTGAATACTGCAATGGAGTATCGCCTCACTGCCCCGCCAACACCTACCTGCAAGATGGGGAGACCTGCGCAAGAGGACAGGCGCACTGTTACAAGGGAGAGTGCCGCACTTTAAAGAGCCAGTGTCAGAGCGTGTGGGGCCCAGGTGAGGAAGGGTCCCCTGGGTGAGCAGACATAGGAGGGGCATATAATTTTTCTGAGGAAGGCAAACCAGTATCAGAAGATGTAGGTTCCAGGTGAGGATGGGGCCCCCAAGTGGTCATGGTCACCTCCTGAAGGGATGCAAACATGGAAGCAAACCAGTGTCTGACCATGTAGGTCCCAGATGAAGATGGGCCCCCAAGTGGGAGGACACAGGTGGAGGCGGCATATCCACCTTCTGAGGGATACACACAGGGGAAGAGAACCAGTGTCAGAGCATGTGGAGCCCATGTAAGGATGGGGCCACCAGGTGGGGGGACACAGGAGGAGGCGGCATATCCACTTCTGAGGGATGCACACATAGAGGCAAACCAGTGTCAGAGCATGTGGAACCCAGGTGAGGATGGGGCAACCAGGTGGGAGGACACAGAAGGAGGAGGCGGCGGCATATCCACCTCCTGAGGGATGCACACGGGGGAAGAGAACCAGTATCAGAGCATGTGGAACCCAGGTGGGGATGGGACCACCAGGTGGGAGGACACAGGAGGAGGCGGCATATCCACCTTCTGAGGGATGCACACATGGAGGCAAACCAGTGTCATAGCATGTGGAGCCCAGGTGGGGATGGGGCCACCAGGTGGGAGGACACAGGAGGAGGCGGCATATCCACCTTCTGAGGGATGCACACATGGAGGCAAACCAGTGTCATAGCATGTGGAGCCCAGGTGGGGATGGGGCCACCAGGTGGGAGGACACAGGAGGAGGCGGCATATCCACCTTCTGAGGGATGCACACATGGAGGCAAACCAGTGTCATAGCATGGGGAACCCAGGTTAGGATGGGGCCCACGGGTTGGAGGACACAGAAGTGGCACATTCATCTTCTGGGGAATGGACACGTGGAGGCAAACTCCGTGTCAGAGCATGTGGGGCCAGTGCTAGAAATGCGAGCGTGCAGCCTGGTACCAGAACCACGAGCACAGGAGAAAGGGTGAGCGGTGTGGGTACAAGGGACGGGCAGTGGTGGCGTCAGCCAGGCCAGGGATGTGGGCACAATAACATGGGTACATGCTGATATGGGGGTCAGAACACCTAACCTGTGCTGGGATATTGTCTCTTAGCAGTCGAGGCGAAAAGGCCAAAGTGTGCCCATCCACCTACCTCTTAGCCTGGCTCTGCGCTTAACCAGCCCCTTATCTTTGCAGGGTCCTCTCCAGCTCCTGAGGCTTGCTTCAAGAAGGTTAATATGAGAGGGGACCGATTTGGCAGCTGTGGACGGAGAACCAATGGCACTTACCTGCCCTGTTCACCAAGGTATGTACACAAGGCGGGTAACACGCTCCTGCAAAGGCCAATCAACCTATTACAGAATCCCCTCTATGGGTGACCATGGTGACTGTTCCTTTTATCCCTTGGCGACTCTACTGGTGAGATCTGTATGCTGAGTTCCCAGCTCCGCCCACCTGCCCGCCCATTATAAAAGAGAACCCACCACCTTTCGGCATTTTTTAAATTTATACTATAGAGAATATAGCATGAGGATTGGGAACACCCCCAAGCTGGGTGTGAACTCATCAGGGAGATCCCATCACTGGAGCCCCAGAAAGATAGAAGGCGGCTAATTTGACCAGATTCAACAATAATGTCACTTTTGTGTGGTCTGTCCCTTTAAGGCCTGTACCTGACTGTCTCTTGCAGGAACGCTCTTTGCGGCACCATCCAGTGTCAGGGCGGGAACGATCAGCCCCTTGTGGGCTCCGGTGCAAAATCAGTTACCGTGAAGGTGACCGTTAACGGGACAGAGGTCTCCTGCCGCGGCACAAACTTTAACATGGGCGACGATATCTGGGACCCGGTCCTGGTGAAGACGGGGACGGTGTGCGGTCTTGGGAAGGTGGGTCCAGCCTGTGAAAGTCATGTATGTGGGGGAAATGGGAAATGACTATTACTTTGTATCTCTTTATCCCCGGTCTGATAGTACATGGAATGTTCTTCCGGGATTGTGGTGCTCACACATATAGGGGATTATTTTTAGATTTTGTTTGCTCTTTTTTTTTAAATTCAATCAGTTTGGGAAAACTTTATTCGTCCTCAGTGTGGGAGTAAAGCCGAATATTCGAGCACAAAATGTATTCAGATGATGGAAACCTGAACTGGCTGGGAGGAGCCATCATCACTTGGTTGGGTGACCTGACAAATAGCGGATCCTTGTATTGGGCCATCATACTGTGGGGATGGAGGGGAATATTCCGGCTGTTTCAGTCACAATGTATTCTTCCATGATGTCACTGACGGATCTTTAAAGGAGAACTATGAGGCGAGTGAAAATTACCCAACCTCATAGTTCGAGCCAACGTGTGACAATGAAACTGTCACACGTCGGCTCAATAGATCAGGAAGTGAGCGAACACATAGCAACGCTCGCTCACTTCTCGATCTATCCCTGCAGGGAGCCGGCTCTCCCCTGTCCGATCCTCCAGCGCTGACTGGCGGAACGGACAGGGGAGGGGGCGGGTACAGCTGGCTCTGCCTCTAGATAGGTAGAGCCAGTTGTCAATCAGGCAGCTGGGTGGATCCAGACAGTATTGTCGGGATCTGTCCCGGCTGCGGCGTCTCAGTATATAGTGAGCTGTAGCCCGCGGTTTACTGAGCTTTGGGTGACGGGAGGACGCAAGTTTGTGTCCTCCAGTTACCATTAGGAGAACTATGGGGAAAAGCCCTAACCCCATAGTTCTCCTTTAAGAAACAATGGACATCATGCCATAGACATGTGCAGTGACCCCTCACACCTGAGACTGACCGCCACCATCTTTTTACAGGTCTGTGTGGACCAGCGATGTCAGGATGTCGCAGTTCTGAAAGCGCTGACCTGCACGAACAATTGCAACGGGCACGGGGTAAGGAGGGGGGTTCTCAGTTTTGTATAGTTCTGTTATACTGGAATCATGTGACTTGGCTCCATGTCTGTACTTCTGTCTCTCTGTCTGTCTGTTCACTCATTTCCTTCCATTCTGTCTGTGTGTCTGTCTGTTCCATGACTGCTGTCGGTTTGTCAATTCTACTCTGTCCACGCCACAATTCCTGCCCCTCCATCTTTCTCATACCCAAGCTGGTCATACACGGTACTATTTGTTATCTTCATACCCCAGATTCCTCCATCAGTGCTAAGCAGTGTGGATGGAGGAATGCCCTGCCATTGCTATTGCATTGTGACAGGCGGCGGCTGCTGATTGGCTCCAAGCACCATACAGGCAAAGATTTACCAATTGTCTCTTTTGATCTCCTGATGAAGGGATGCCGGGGGGAAGGGTGATGACAGGGGCCCCCATTGTGTGAGTTACGGCATCGTATAGTATATGGCCAGCTCTAGTTTCTTATCAATTCACCTTCCCCGCATTCTGTGTGTCTGTCCAGCTCCCTGTTCACTCTCTTTATATCTCTCTCTCTGTTCTTGATGTATGTAGGTCTGTCCCTCCCTCTGTCTGTTCTTTGACATCTCTCTGTCTGTCCATCTCTCAATCTGTTCTTTGATGTCTGTCTGTCCGTTCCTCTCTGTCCATTCTGTCTGGCTGTCCATCCCTCTCTCTGTTCCTTGACATGGTTGTCTGTCCATCTCTCTGTTCACACTCTCTATCTCGCTCTCTGTTCTTGATGTATGTAGGTCTGTCCCTCCCTCTGTCTGTTCTTTGACATCTCTCTCTCTGTCCATCTCTCAATCTGTTCCTTGATGTCTGTCCGTTCCTTTCTGTCTATCTCTGATGTATGTCTGTCTGGCTGTCCATCCCTCTCTCTGTTTCTTGACATGTTTGTCTGTCCATCTCTCTGTTCCTTGATATCTGTCCGTTTGTCGGTTCATCTCTCTGCTCTCTCTGTCTGTCCATCTGCCTCTATGTTACCTGCTGTTTGTCTATCCGTATTTGTTCCTTATGTCTGTCCATCTCTCTATCTTTTCATTGACATCTGTCTGTCAGTTTATCTTTGTCTGTCTGTCCATCAGTCTCTCTATTCCCTGCTGTCTGTCCTTCTCTCTATTAGTTCATTGATGTCTGTCCGTCTTTCTGTTACCTAAAGTCTGTCCATCTCTTAATCCCATCCCTGACACTTTCCAATCCCTCTGTCTGTCCGTTATCTTCCATCCTCATTTCCTGTTCCTGACGCCTGTCTGTCCATTCATTTCTCCCAGTCTCACTGGCTGTCCATCTATCCCTCTGTTCCCTGGCATCTGTCTGTCCGTCCATCCATTTCTCCCAGTCTCACTGTCTTTCTGTCCATCTATTCTTCTGTTCCCTGACATCTGTCTGTCCATCCATTTCTCCCAGTCTCATTGTCTGTCTGTCTGTCTGTCTGTCCATCTATCTCTCTGTTCCCTGACATCTGTCTGTCCGTCCATTTCTCCCGCTCTCACCTTCTGTCTTGTGTCCCCGTTCTGCCCCCTCCAGGTGTGTAATAGTAACAGTAATTGTCACTGTGACCGCGGTTGGGCTCCCCCGGATTGCGGCAGGTCTGGAGATGGCGGCAGCGTTGACAGCGGTCCGATGGCTCTGGAGCGCGGTCAGTATGCAGCATTATTATCCCGTGACGCCCGTCCTATGCCGCGGCTGTTTTGTGCCACCTAACGTGTACCATATTACAGGGGGCGGCTCCATCTCCACCACCATCATCCTCATCGTCCTCCTCCTCCTCGTCGTGATCATCCTGGTCGTCTTCTGCTACGTGAAACGCGTCTCTCTGCAGAGGAAAATCTCCGGCCTCTTCAGCAACGGCAGCAAATGTCAATATCGGTCTGTTGCGCTTTTCTGGGAGCTCTGCCCCAAAATAGGCACCCCCCCTACCCCTCCCTTTCCTAGGGGTTTATCTGCAGCCCTGCATGTGACAGCTCCTCCACTTCAGCACTTTATAGCTGGGTGAACATTAAACAAATAGCATTCCCTGCCATACAAGTCCCAGTGTATCTTATTTGGGATTATCCATAATGCTTTTTGGTCAGTGTATTGTGTAATCACTTCCTCTTCTCCTCTCTCATTATAGAGTGACGCAGAACAGCAGCGAGCTCCGCCCACAGCGCCCTCCTCCGCCCCACTGGACTCAGAGTACCGAGTTGCAGGTGATGTCTGCAAGCAACCAGGTGAGCAAAAAAATTGGCTCGTGGGGCGCACTTGTCCATCGCGGTAAAAGTGACGCAGTGTGTATATTGTTAGCTCAGCTGGCAATAACGGGGGGGGGCCGGGCGCAGCATGTTAAGGTTCTAATATACAGATATGAAATCTTATTGGCTGGCGTGCTGGATTTACAGGTGAATAGGTGACACTGATGCAAATGCATGTTCTGCCCCGTCCGGGCTGCTGATTTCTGATTGGCTGTTATGGATTAATATGCGCAGTAGGAACAGAGGTGTCACCTCCAGGTGCCGCTACCTGTCATACCAAGAGCCCGGCAGCACCATGTTCTGTATGTTACCTCCAACTGAATTAACCCGACACTAACCAATCGCCATCTCTTTCTTCTCTCCTCACCCACCAATCCAATCATCTGTG